GCATGCACAAGGCCCTGGGTTCAATCCCCAGTACCTCCTCTAAAAGGAGCTGAATTTAAAAAACCTAATACACCTCCCCCCAAAAGAAAGAAAGAAAAGAAAACCCAAAGATGCTTCAAATAAATGAAATTATAAATGAAAAAGGAGACATTGCAACTGATACCACAGAAATGCAAAGGCTCATAAAGGTCCACTATGAACAACTGTACGCTAACAAATTGGATAAACTAGAAGAAGTGGATACATTCCAAGAAACATACAACCTACAAAGTTTTAGCCAGGAGACTGAATCAGTAATCAAAAACCTCCCCAAAAGAAAAGATCAGGACCAGATGGATTCACTGGTTAAGTTCTATCAGTCATTTAAGGAGTACTGCTATTCCTTCTCAAGCTCTACCAAAAAAATTAAAGAGAAGGGAATACTTTCCATGTCATTTTATGAGATCAGCAATCCTGATACCAATTACAGAAAAAGACAGTAAAAGAAAACCACAAAGCAATATCCCTGATGAACATAGATGCAAAAATTGTCAACAAAATACTACCAAACAATTTATCAGCACATTAAAAGGATTATACGCCATGAAAATGGGATTTATCCCTGGGGTACAAGGATGGTTCAACATAGAAAAATTAATCTATGTGATATACCACATTAACAGAATGAAGGATAAGAATCACATCATCATCTCAATAGATGCAGAAAAGGCACCTGACAAAATTCAACACTTTTTTTTAATGATAAAAACACTCACAAGGAATAAAGAAAATTTCCTTAACAAAAGTCACAGCTAAGTAATACTCAACAGTTAAAAAAAAAAAAGTGAAAGTCTTTTCTAAGATCAGGAAAAAAGCAAGAATACCCATTCTCACCAACTCCTTTCAGAACAAGTGAGTGTAAGTAAGAAAAGTAACAAAAGGCATACAAATTAAAAAGGAAGGAGTAGAAGTGGAATCACTTAGGACCCATATTTTATGGAATATATAAAAATCAATTCCAAATTGATTAAAGTCTTAAACGTAAAACCTGAAACTAAAAAGCTTCTAGAAGAAAACAAGAGAAAGCTTTCTTACATTGGTCTTGAGAATGAGTGTTTGGATTTGACACCAAAACACAGGGAACAAAAGCAAAAATAGACAAATGGGACATCAAACTTAAAATCTGTGCAACAAAATTAACATTCAGCAGAGTGAAAAGATAACCTATGGAAAAGGAAATAATTTTTTCAAACCATATATTTGAATATAGTTAATCTCCAAAATATGTAAGAATCTTTTTAATAGTCAATAGTCAAAAAAAAAATTAACCTCATTAAAAAATGAGCAAGGGCCTGAATAGACATTACTCCAGGGAAGACATACAAATGGCCAATGGGACTATAAAAAATGTTCAACATCTCTAATCATCAGGAACACATGCAAAGCCAATCTACAATGAGATACCACCTCATACATGTTAGAATGGCCATCATAAAAACCTAAACAAAATGAAAACATAACTAGTGAGGCTGAGTAACAATAATTAGAATCCTTGTATACTCTTGCTGCAACTCAGGGATAAATCCTACTTGTTCATGGTATATGATCATTTTAATAGTACATTTAATAGTACATTAAAATGATCATACACCATGGTTTGCTGGTATTTTGTAGAGAATTTTTACATCTATTTTCATAAAGGATATTGGTTTGTAGTTTCCTTTTCTGTCCAGATAAGGATATTACAAGAAAAGTAAAATGGCAAATATCCCTGATGAACATATATGCAAAATCCTCGAGAAAATATTAGCAAAGTAAATTCAACAACATATTAAAATGATGACAAAACACTTTCAAGTGCGGTTTATTCCAGGGATGCAGAGATTATTAAACATCTGTAAATCAATCAACATGATCCATCACATTAACAAAATGAAGGGGAAAACTCATAATTATTTAAATAGATGCATAAAAAGCATTAGACAAAATTTAACATCCATTTATGATAAAACCTCTCAACAAAGTGGGTATATAGGTAATGCACCTCAACATAATAAAGGCAGGTCCACAGCTAACATCACACCTGATGGTAAAAAGGTGAAAACATTTCCTATAAGATAAAGGACAAGGACAGCCACTATGCTACTTTTACTGGACATAGTATTGGAAGTCCTAGCCAGAGCAATTAGGCAAGAAAAAGACATAAAAGACATCCAAATTGGAAAGGAAGAATTAAAATTGTCACTATCTGCAGTTGACATGATACTATATACAGGAAACCCTAAAGTCTCCACCAAAAACCTATTAGGACTAATCAATTAATTCAGTATAGTTGTAGGATAGAAGAATAACATACAGAAAGCTGCTGCTTTCCCATACACTAATAATGGACTATCAGTTTACAATTGCATCAAAAATAAAATAACTAGGAATACATTCCACCGAGATGAAAAATTGTACACTGAAAACTATAAGACATTGATTAAAATAAATTGAAGATGTCACCTGTAATGGAAAAATAGTCCATGCTCATAGATTGGAAGAATTAGCTGAAATCTTCATACTGTCCAAAGCAAACAACAGATTCACTGTAATCCCTATCAAAATTCCAATGGCATTCTTCATAGAGAACAAACTTTAAAAGTTGCATGGAATCATGAAAGACACCAAGTAGCCAAAGCAATCTTGAGAAAGAAGAACAAAGCTGGATGTATCACATGTCCTACTTTCAAAATATATTTTAAAAATAATTATAATCAAAACAGTATCGTACAGACACATAAATAGAAACTGACTCACAGACATAGAAAACAAACTTATGGTTACCAGGAGGGGAAAGGGAAGGGATAAACTGGGAGCTTGACATGTGCAGATACTAATTTATATTTATATACATATATACACACACAAACACACACACATATACATCTATATATACATATATACACATATATAATGAACAACAGGTTTCTACTGTATAGCACAGGGAACTATATTCAATATCTTGTAGTAAATTATGGTGAAAAAGAATATGAGAATATATGTATGTTCATGTGTGACTGAAGCATTATGCTGTACACCAGAAAATGACACAGCATTGTAAACTGCTTATACTTCAAAATATATATATATATATATATATATATACACACACACAAAAAGGGACACATAAGATCAGTGGAACAGAACTGAGAGCCCCTGGTCAATTAATTTATGACAAAGGGGTCTAGAATATACAGTGGGGAATGGATAGCCTCTTCAATTAATTGTGTTTAGAAAACTGGACAGCCACCACATGCAAAGGAATAAAACTGGACTACTATCTTACACCATATGTAAAAACAACTCAATGTGGATTAAGACCTTAAATTTAAGACCTGAAGTCACTAAACTCCTAGAAAACATAGGTGGTAAACTACTTGAAATTGTTCTTGTTAATTTTTTTTTTTGGATTTAACACCAAAAGCAAAGGCAACCAAAGCAAAAATGAACAATTGGGTCTACATTCAACTAAAAACTTCTGCATAACAAGGAAAATCATCATTGAAATGAAAAGGAAACCTATGAAATGGGAGAAAACATTCCCAAATCATGTATCTGACAAGGTGTTAATATCCAAAACATATCAAGAACTCACACAACTCAATAGCAAAAAATCAATCTAGTTAAATTATGCGCAGAGGCTATGAATAGGTATTTTTCCAAAGAAGACATGCAGATGGCTAAGAGATACATGAAAAGGTACTCAACATCACTAATCATCAGGGAAGTACAGTCAAAACCATAGTGAGATATCACCTCACACAATTAAAATGGCTATTATCAAAGACAAGAAATAATTGTTGGCAAGGATGTGGAGAAAAGGGAACCCTCATGCACTGTTGATGGGAATGTAAATTGGTGCAGCCACTATGGAAAACAGTATGGAGTTTCCTCAAAATTTAAAAATAGAACTACTATATGATCCTGCAATTCCATGTGCAGGTATTTATCTGAAGGAAATGAAAACACTAACTGGAAAATGTGTCTGCATCTCCATGTTTATTAAAGAATTATAATGGCCAAGATATTGAAACAACTTATGTATCCATCAATGGATGAATGGGTAAACAAAAATGTAATACATACTCACATACACACACAATGAAATATTATTCAGTCATCAAAAAGAAGGAAATCCTGCCATTTGCAACAACATGGATGGACCCTGAGGGCATTAAGCTAAATGAAACCGATAAAGACAAATACCATATAATCTCAGTTATATGTAGAATCTGAAAAAGAAAAAAAAAAACCTGAGCTTATAGAGAACATGATTTATGATTGCCAGAGGCAGTATGGTGTAGGGTGGGTGAAACTGATGAAGGTGGCCAAAATGTTTAAACCTCCAGTTATAAGATAAATAAGCTCTGGGGATGTAATGTACAGCAAGGTGACTACACTTAATAATACTGTATTGTATAATTGAAAGTTGCTAAGAGAATATATCTTAAAATATATTTTATATACCATTAAAAATTATGAAATAAATATTAGAATATTATAAAATAAAAGACGTCCCTACATCTTTGGTTGATTCAGTTATGGCCTGATTTTCCAACTTTATGACTTAGGCAATATATAAAGAAGAAATAGACAATTATTCCAACTTTTGTTTATTCCACTTGGACAGTTCCTAGTTCATTCTTTATAGACACCTGCCAAGTTAGCTGTAGTTCTTTCTAAAACAAAGAACTGTTGACATTTACTTACATATCTAAGAAATGGTTTTGTTTAAGCAATGGAAATACAATGTGAAGAAGCTACCTCTAGGTTCCTTACATTTTACTGAAGAGAATCAAGCAATGAATAAAATAAGCAAATAGGTACAAGATAGAGTAAAATGTAGTGATAAATATTATAGAAAAAAAAAACTTATCTCTAATTTAAGTATCTTACTAAAAAAAATAAGTTAATGATCACAAGAAAGTAACAATCGTACAAATTAATGAAACACAGTAATTGAAAACTTCTCTCCACAGTACAGTGATCTTCCTACTGGAGTATATGTGCTCCTAGAAAAATACAGACTTTCCAGCAAATTCTCAGCTGTGAAAATCTTAGAATAATCTGTTTATAGATCCCCAACTGCCGTAAGTACTTTTCCAGACTGAGTATGATTTCCTCCCTCCCTTCTTTCACTCCATCTATCTTCGAATTAGAATTCAGTAGTTAGAAGGGACATGTGTTGAAAGGAGAAAAGACTGAAGTTTTATACCTTTTTAGCAGTGAGATAATCTAATTTGGTTGATAGAACTGACAGTGAGGACCAGCTGTGCCATTAGGTAATACAAGATGAATATTTTTTATAACTTACATGACCTAAATCTTAGCTTCACAGTTTTGATAAAGAATATATTTGAAGCACATATGTTATATACAATATGCCAGAAAATATTTCCATTCAAACTATTTAAAATTTTAGATAAGAGATTAAAACTGTACAACGAGATATACATGTTTTTAGTAAATTTAAAAAATGTTAGCAAAAATATTTGGAGAACATTGTCAATGAGGGGACAAACACCAAACAGTAACACTAGACATAATAAACTTTATTGATACTTAAAGTCTCCTTGCTTAATTGTTAATTTCATCTTATCCTTTTTAGGATAAGGTCATATGAGTGTTATAATATTAGAAACTGAAATACTTTATTCAAGTGCTTGACTGAATTTTGTTAGTCAGCAAGATAAAATATCCAAGTCTTCTAATTTTTTAATGGTTGTCTGAGGTTGGCTGTTTCCAATTACAGTTGTCCCTTGTTATCTGCAAGGGATTAGTTCTAGGACGGCCCCCACCATCCCTACCTCCATACCACAATCTGTGGATGCTCAAGTCTCTTCTATAAAATGACTTAGTATTTATAAATAACCTACATACTTCAGCCTTTATACTTTAAACATCTTCAGATTACTTAAAATATGTAATACAATATAAATGCCGTATATAGTCGCAAATACAAAGCAAATGCTATGTAAATAGTTGCCAGCTAGGGGCAAATTCAAGTTTTGCTTTTTGAAACTCTGTATTTTTTTCCTCATATATTTTCAGTCCACAGTTGGTTGAATCCACTGATGTGGAACCTGCAGAGGGCCTACTGTACTCCAGCGGAGACATACCTTCAAAGACTTGGCGTAAGAAGTTCTTAATAGTCTTCTCCTTTCCTTTCAGGACAGTAACAAAAAAGGGTTTTTGTTGCTCTTGGTTGCTCTCAAAAAGAACGTGAATAGTACTATGTGGTATATGATGTTATTGACAGAAACACGTATTTTTAAGAACCTGTCCCCAGATTACACTTAGATGACCTTAATTGCACAGTTGAGGGGAACAAAAATGGCCTCTCCCTTTCCTTTTCTGCACTGAATGCAGTCATGTATTGCCTAGATCCCACAGTCCCCTAAGAACACACATATTTAATCCCCTGGGGCTAAAAGCTCACAACTAAGTCCCAGAATCCATCAGACTCCATCACCCTGTGCTTACTTCAAGAACATTCCCAAGATCAAGTTCAATGACTAGTCCATTCCCAGTTCTGGACAATTCTGACCCACCATCCTAGCTTCAAAGCTTTTTGTGGTATTGAATGACCTTTACTGAGACTACATCAGTAACCCCCAACTTCTTCTGCTAAATCCTGCTTCCTTTATTCCTGCACTGGGTTGACTCCTACAGGACTCCCAAATCAACTTTGTGTACACACAGCTCTGCCATAAGATCTGTTCCCAGGGAAGCTTAACTCATAACACTCTATTTTAAATTCATTCAGTTATTAAAATCTGCCCATTTATCTCTTATTTGGCTCCAAAATCTGTTACCTCTTTCCCATCTTGACTGGTGTAATTAAACCAGACTCTTAGCTAACTTCTATTAACTGTTCTGCTTCTATTTATTTCCTCCTTAACCCCAGTTCTGCTTCTATTTATTTCCTCCTTAAACCCATCCTTCACACTGTTATAAAAGAATCTTTTAAAATTTCAAGCCTTATGAAGTCTCTGCCTATTTCAGAATCTTTCAGCATTATTTTATTTCTCGGAAAAACCGAAACTCCTTACGAAGACATATTAGGCTCTGTAGCATTTAATCCTTCAAACCATTCTTCTCACTCTATACTTAACAGTCCTAGGCAATTTGTAGTTTTCTGTTTTCTGTGTATTTGATGCTCTTTCACTTCTTCATTGATTGATATATGCTCTTTTTTCAATTTGAAATTACATTTCATTTTTATGTACCACTATATTGATATGCATTCTACATGGATGGAATCAATTTTTATCTCTCTGTGAAGACTTCCACAGGCATAACTCTACCTCATCTCCTGGAGACTGGTACAGACATTACATGACTTATTACACTGTTTTGTTGTTTTTTTTTTACCATGTGAACTAAACTTGGAACTTCATGCATACGCTGTTTTATTCATCATAATAAAATAACATCAATAATGCAAGTAACAGTGTTTTATTTATCTTTTTCCATGGTACTTTATTTAATAAATAACTCAAAGAAGTGTCATTAGAGAAATGTTCCTGACGGGGAAAAACTTGCATTGCAATTCTTTTTTGACTATGTATGATTTTTGAGAATATTTCAACGATTCTCCACCAGAGGGAAGTCTTCCTTCCCTTCAGACTACAAACAATTAAGAACCTAATGCTTAACTAATGTTTGCATTCATTAGGAGAGACTATGGCAGACAATCAAGAAACATAAGCCATTGTTTTTGCCCTAAGGAAATCTATAATTTGAGGAATAAGACAGACGAAATGATTATAAAAACAGAACATGTTCTAATGCATTTAGAATAATATATTTTTAAAGAACTTTAAATAGAGTCAGACAAGGCCTTGAAATCTGAAGGAAAAGAAAGGAATAACTACGGTTATTAATCAACTACAATTTTCTCATTTAGTTTATATAACACCACTTTAAGTTTGGTAATATTTCCTCCACTTTACACATGAGGGAATTGCGCCCACCAACACTGGTATTCAGTATCATTAAGGACTTGAACCACGGACTTTGCAAATCATGAGTCAAGAACTTTTACTCGGCAATGGTCTATCTGAGACAGGATGGAAGGGGGCAGTGCACAGCCACTCAAGGAATGACAGCAATTTAACACCAAAATGGTGGAAGGTTTACCTCCTAGTTGACCTTGAAGATTAAGAGGTTTGACTTCTAGTAGACCTTGAGCTTCATTATATGCTCATTGTAACAGCGTGATAAATAACATGCCCGCAGGCGCCATGACAGTCCCAAGGCTAACCGCAAAAGGCCAAAGAATGGCCAGTGGCCCAATTCCTGGTAATCTTAGCCCCTTCCCCAGGGCAGTTGGAATGGTCCCACCTATAGGCCTGTGAAGCTACTGAGACCATAAAAACGGACACCACCACGCCTAGAGGCCTTTTTCGCTCCCTCCTCTTCAGAGACAGCCCGCACTCTGTCTATGGAGTGTGTCCCTACTTTTACTTTAACCTGAGCACCCAATTCCCATACCTCTTTCCTTGCCTTTCTCTTGTCTTACACTCTATGCAGTATGTTCTCTCTAAATAAATCTACCTTTACTCAATTGTGGTTCGCACTTGAATTCTTTCCTGTGAGAAGCCAAGGACCCACACCTGGCGGGGCATGTACCAGGGGCTCAGCCGAGACCTCAGACATGGCCCTCCTCATGCCACACATCTGTTTTCCTGCATCATAGTTAGCTTTTCTAAAATTCACTTCACTTCATTGAATGCCAAGGTAGTCAATGATATCTCTATTATAAATTGTTTCAGCCTTTCCTCTAGGAAAACATCCAATTTTCATGGGTTTCTTGCCTTTAATTGACTACCTTCCCTCTTGCTTTTTTGTCCCCAAATGCCTGATCAATAAGCACGTTTCCTAGGTGTTCTGATGTGTACAGAATATATTAACATATCAAAAAACAGATAAAATGGCCTGGAAATTCTCTACCTGACCCCAAATCTTTTTCTCTGAAAAGTTACTGAACTGCTCCAAAATATAAAGAGAACAAATTATAAAATTCCATTAGGGAATCTGGCCAACTGTTTGCTGCCAGCAGCACTAGAATTGATGACATGCCCCAACATAAACCCTTTGACAGCAGTAAACAGCCGTGCAGTTGTATGCTCAGAATAAAAGGAAGCTGGGGTTGGGAGATACAACTAAGCAGATAATCACAGTCTGACGTGTTGGAGTGGCCTGGTGATGGTTATTATGTGGCCAGTCTCTGGAAACACGTAACTATACAGATGCTATATTCAGGGCACTGTCACTTGGTACCATTACAGGCAGCAATAATAAGGAGCAAAAGCTGTTCAGATGAAAAACTGAATTGTGTGCAGGGAAAAAGCTTCCTTCAGAAAAGGAAAATTAAAACGTTTTATAAATAGTATGTCAGATTTACTTGTTTAGATCTGTATTACTACATCATGAATAAAAATGAAATTTATCCAGACATGAGCTTGAGAGAAAACACACAGGATAAATATAATCAGCACATAGTGCCATATGATCTGTTGTGAAACAGAAAAGTGGAGCAATAAGCCCATTTTAAAAACCTTGACATTTAAGACTTTGCCTAAATTTTAAAGTGCTATTCATAAACATTAGCTATAGCTTTTTCTGATCCATTCATTTTCTTGAATACAAACTTATGTGAGGCCTGCCCAATATGCTGAGTTTGCAATCGTTAATAAGGAAAAAATCATGCATTTTGAGCAAAAGTAGGTATTGTTCATCACAGTGAGATGAACCTGACCTATAAGCTGAACTGTTCTGACCTCTTACATAGGTAATCTTTGGTCTTTTTACATGGAAATGCAAACCTCCCCGTGTTTAGGTCTCTTCTTGTTAATCCAGCTAGAAAATTTTTTACGCCAAAATTGTTTCCTTAAAATAAGTTGTTCTGTCTTGCCTAGGGGAGAGTTCCAGCTCGTAGTAAATGCTACCTACTACTTAAATAGAGCAAAGAGTTTGAGGAAAGAAGAGGGCAGCGTCTTCATTAGAACTCATGTTTTGTGTGTAAAAATTCCTATTCCTGTTCTAAGTGGTTCTTACTCTCTAGTCCTTTTCAGATATCAGAGAGCTATATCTACTATATGCACTACTTTTGGGGAGGAATAATATTTGAAGTAGACTAAGGACGTTGCAAGAGCATTGGTTTATAAACTTTGATTAGATCCTTTTTTTATGTCTAAAATTTGATTCCAAAACTCTTTTCCTTTGTTCACAAAAACAGTGACAAATATATGTTCATGTGTATATGTATTTTTCCTCATATCCATTTTCTTTATTCCATCCATCAATTTATGGCCAAGTTCATTTTTCATGTGGAAATTTTAGACCATCCTCAAAATGGACAATTTTAACAAGCATTTTCAATGGAAACTAGCACTTGATGTCTGTGAAATAAAGGCTGTAAAAGCACTTTTGTGAAAAGCTACACTAGAAATCTGAAGTACTGGTACTAGTGTGAAAACTTTCAGTCACAAAATTTGCTAGTTTCCACCTTTCTGCATGATGAAACTTTAAGCTGTAAAGAAATCTCAAAAGAAGATTACAAAACTTTTGAGTTTATGTTGATGTTGTATGAATGGGAGTTTGTTGTGACAAAAACACCATTCCTTCAGTTACTTCCACTGCTTGGACAATGATTTACTTAGGACTTGACTTTACTGCCAAAAAACCAACTGGGATCCACATTATATGCAACAGCAATTACAGACAGACAGAAGGAAAGATAGATATAATATTATATATAATATATACTGAATATATAAATATATGTATATATGACAAAATATATGTATATATACATATATTTTCTACTAGATTAAAATAAAAAACTTCTTTCACTTTTCTCTTTCATCTATTTGAAAAGTATAAACAGAAACATATAGGGAGGGATTGCCAAGATGACAGAGTAGAATGATATGATGCTCACCCTCTCCCATGAATATAACAGAAACTACATCTATATTCAGAACAATTCACACAAAACACCTACTGAACTTTAGTAGATTATCTCTTACTATTGCTAGAGCAGGCAAGTAGTTAGCTATGAGCAGCAAAAGAAGGACATGGGCCAAATGGCAGAAAACCATGTATCTTGTGAACAATGGGGGTCCTCGGACAGACCAAGAAAAACAGGATGCTCTGGGCTGATTAAAAAAACATACATTCTGGGTTGACAAGTGTCCTGGAGGCAGAAGGGTGGGACAAGATAGGAATCCCCACCATCGAAATGTAACCTTTCAATCATTATGACCTCTGTCTAAATTTAACCTTTTGCTTATGATATCCCCAACCAAATGTAATCTTTTGTTCAGTATGACCTCGTCCAACTTCCCAATCAAGCCTAAATATGGACAAAAAAATCTCTCCTCCCCACCTGCGAAGGTGGAGCTGGAATGAAGATCTGGAAAGACGACCCCAAACCCCTCTCTGCCAATGAATATTCTGCCCATTCATTTTTACAATCTTATAATGAGCTTGCCAAGGAAACTTGGAGCAGCTACCCATCTGGGTCTGCCCACTCTTTCTCTGAGAGCATTCTATCTATCCCTTAGTAAATCCTTGCGTTGCTTTTTTGACCTCCACGTCTTATTTATGAATTCTTTCTGTGACAAGACAAGAACCTTCATCAACAACACTATCTCAACTACAAGGAAAATCCTCACAAAACCAGATAAACAACAAGTTTATACTGTATAGCATATGGAACTATACTCAATATCTTGTAGTAGCTTATGGTGAAAAATATGAAAACAACCATATGTACATATATATATGACAAACATTATGCTTACACCAGAAATTGACACAATATTGTAAACTGAATATACTTCAATAAAAAAAGAAAAACTGTAATTTTAGATGCTTCATATACCCGGTAA